CCACGCGTGAGGCGCGACAAGAGGGAACTGCCATACTTTGGGAACCCTCGCGTCTGACGCGCCTCAGTCAGTCGCGAGGCCAGCTTGGGGCGTGGGCCGGCGGGGACCAGGGCCGCCGAGGCGACGCGCCGCTCCATCCATGCGCTCCCAGCAGCGCGACGCCACGTGGACAGTTAGTATATTCCAGCAGATTCGAAGTCTAGGTGCCGTTGGCCACCCTGCATTCCTCATGGGGGATCTGAATTGGCGGGCGTCGCACGCTGCAGCGATGGGGCCCAGCTTCCAGCTGGCGCGGTGGACGATCCAAGTACGGCGCGCGGCACAGCGCCGACGCGATGCGGCATCTTCGGGCCACTGACGCGCACGGCTCCACAGCGCGAGGGAATGCAGCTACTACCTGGAATTCCGCCCCACGCATGGTTGAGATATTCCAGTGACATCCCTGCGTACTCAGGAAAAGAGGAGCGTTCTCATCATGCTGCGCAGCTTGCGGTGGAGTGCCTTCCTGGCAATGATGAAAGAGATGCACTTCCGGCTAAATTCGATTCGCGCCTTCCTGCCAGGCATGACCCAGCTCTTGCAACGGAGGCTGCGGCTGCGAGGTGGAAGTCGCGGGGCGCTCGGGCCGAACATGCTCTCTCTCTCACTCTCTCTCTCTCTCTCTCTCTCGCTCTCTCTCTCTCTCTCTCTCTCTCTCTCTCTCTCTCTCTCTCTCTCTCTCTCTCTCTCTATATATATATATATATATATATCTATCTCTCTCTCTTTCTCTTTCTCTTTCTTTTTTTATCTCTCTCTCTCTATCTCTCTCTCTCTCTCTCTCTCTCTCTCTCTCTCTCTCTCTCTCTCTCTCTCTCTCTCTCTCTCTCTCTCTCTCTCTCTCTCTCTCTCTCTCTCTCTCTCTCTCTCTCTCTCTCTCTCTCTCTCTCTCTCTCTCTCTCTCTCTCTCTCTCTCTCTCTCTCTCTCTCTCTCTCTCTCTCTCTCTCTCTCTCTCTCTCTCCTTCTCTCTCGGTCGGCGCGGAGAAGGACTGCGCGGCAGTGGGGCGACAGGCAGGACGGGCCAAAGGGTCGCCTCCAACAGTGCGACCAGCTGGTTCGGGATCGTCTCATCGCTTTGATCAAACACTGGCCTGGCGGAGAGTGCCACCTACGACTCCACAGACGCTCTACGCGTCATGTTCGATCTGGCTGTTCTCACACGTCCTCGGACATGTTGGAAACGAACCACTTGAAGTAATGTGCTCAGGCCGCGCTGGGCGCACTCTTCAAGGCCAGCGGCTATGGACTTCCTCTTTATGTTGACTCACTGGTTTCGGCATCGAGTGGCATCGCGGCCGAGAGTTTTTTACAGAGAAAGGAATGGAAGAAACGGTGCAAGTGGACGGCCCCGCTCTTTCGCCCGACGCCGCCGGCAGCCCTTGTGGGCCCAAAAGAAGCGCACGAGAGTTAGAAGGCTCAATGGAGTCCGCCAGACCACCGTGGCAAAGCTGGTGAACACGTTTGGAAATTGAAGCAGCATGCTGCCCAAGTACATTTTCCCTTGTCTCCCCACAGCCAGACATGGGTTCCACCGCGCAGGTTTCCGACCGGCTCGGCGGGGCTTGGTGGGCGGGGGGCGAAATATATCGAAGCAGTCAGAAAGCGCTTTCCAGAATTGGTTGTGCAATTATGCGACGCGTGGGCATCAGCGGCTCTCTACTGCGCGCAGGAGACATGCAGAGCACCGCGTGAAGTTACTGATCTGATTTGCCATGGAGAGTGGTCGGTATTCCGAAGGGGGAATCTGACATGCGCCTAATATTCGTTGGATCCTTCTGGCCACGATGCTGGCTCAGTGCATTGGCGTAGGCAGTGCCACATACTGGCGACAAGCAGGGGGCAGGAAAGCGCAGCGCGAGCGTTGCGCGCGCAATTTCAAAGCGGCGGGTCGAAATCGCAACCCGATGCAGCTTCAGAATTGGATATTTCACGAGCGTGTGTTTAGATTGAGAATGAGATCGGTGAAACAGCCCTTCTGTCTTGTAAAACGCCCGACGCAGCGGCGCACGCGGCGGCGGCGGCCCGGACAGGACTTCGGACGCTATGCGGAGGCGGCCAATGCGCCCCGCCGATATATCCAGAGAGAAGCCTCCCGCAAGGGGGCTCGGTGGCGCCAGCGGGTATGATGGCTGCACTTATGCCGTGGCAACCGAACAATGGACGGGCCTACATGGACGATCGATTCTTGGCGAACGCGAGCGCTGATCTCGTCCAAGACGACATCAACATGGCGGAGACCTTTGGCAGAGACTGTGGGCTCGTGGAAAATACTGCAAAGCTTTGGGCGTGGAGTGCAGCAGATGATCCCTTAGCTGCGGTTGAGCATCCTGGCGCCGACACACGGACGCAGAGCGCCCCATTCTTCCCAGACGTGGATGGGAAAACATATATCAAGCAGCGGAGACACTAGGACCTATACCTGGCGGTTCGGATGCACGAGAAAGGCTGGCAGTGACTTGTTTAAGGCCGTTATGGCATTGGGCCTCACTTCTGCCGACGCCGCCCCTTGAGGACCATCCCCGTCTCCTCCACAAGGCAATTGCGAGATCCTCTTTGGTCACACAGAGGACATGTGCACCCCCGCCTGGGGGCAGTCATGCATGCAAACAACACGGCAGTCCATGAGAAACTGGAGTGGTCACATTTCGTGGAGACGGCGGCGGTGGCCCATTGCGCCGTGCTTGGGTTTCACCTTACGAGGTTTTCAGCACAGCAGGGTTGCTTACTCGAGGTAGACCTGCGGATGGTCATAGAGTTTCTGGGGCAGCGCAGAAATTGCCCCCACCTGGTACTCAACGCGTCTGGACGAGAAGGCCACTGCAAGAGCGGCACAAGGGAAAGGTCGATCATGCATTGCTAACAGTAGCAGGGGTGGTCTGCTTCGAAGAAGTGGTGCAGAAAATGAGTGACGCGGAGAAAACGACGAGGTGGAGCCCAATGTTGTTTCGCATGGGTCCTTTGCCAAGTGGGCCGGAAGGCTCCCTGATGTTGGCAAGAAGCTTCTGTGCATTTATTTGCCGGGCGTGGTTTCATCAGAACAAGACGAAACGGTGAAAAATTGCAGTCATTGCAATGCGCTCTGGCCTTCTTTCAGACATGTGTGGGCAGAATGCCCAGAATTCGACCATCAACGTGTTTTGGTTATGTGACAAGTTGGGGCTGGCTCTTTCCATTTGGACCAGCGCTCCCAAAGCTACGTCTAAGAGCGGGTGGATCGTTCTCGCAGGCAGCTTCACTTCAAGAACGAGCGACCATGACGAGGGCGGCTTGCGAGTCGGCCGTACACATCATGCACTTCAGTCCTCATCAACGCCTACAACCACTGGATTAGATCCATGTGCTGGGTCTACTTCTTCGAAAAAATGTGATTTCAGACACCAGCTTATTCTTCTTCGTCGTATGCGAAGGTGTTGACAGTTGCTGAAGGAGGAGTTCTCCGTGGGGTACGATCCGTTTGAGGAGTGTGCCCAAATACGTGCGGGGACGCATACGGGCACCTTCAGTGGAGCCGTACGTAGAGTCCCCTGTGAGGCACGATCCGTGTGAGGGGTATATCGAACTTTGCATGGGGACGAATGCAGGCGCCCTCACTGATGTCGGAGGTAGGGTTCCCTCACTGGTGCTGTAGGTGGAGCGCCCTGAAGGGGCACGATTCGTGTGAGGGGTGTGCCGGATTGATGGAAAAGAGGAAAGGGGAGGAAGGAAGGAAGGCGAAGGACTAGTGGACGCGCGGCTCCGCGGAGACAAATCGAGGACCCAACAAGACAGGAGGGTCGGGAAGACCGGAACGCCAACCCGCACAGAGCGCTCGCGTGATGCCCCGCAGAGGTTTCCGACCCTGTCGCAATTCCTCTAAGCTACGAGGTGTCCCACTTTGGCGCGGACAACCCCACAGAGCATCGAGGAGATGAGAAGCGCGCGCGAAGCGCACGCGTGGTTCCACCATCAAATTATTGTGTGCGCTGTCATCATCGGAGTCATCAGAGATCTTGAGCTTGCAGCGTCTTGCATCATACTTCCGCATCGTATGATTCTTGTTGGGGTTCTTGAAGTTGCAAGAGGTGTAGGCAAAGTCTGCGCGGTGCTTTGATCGGTTGATTAAAAGACGAATTGTGCAGGCGTTTCGAAAGGTGGGGGACGCATCCCGAGGGCCTCTTGCTCCACTACCCAACACCCTTCCCCCTCTGCTCCCCTCGTCGCCCTCCCCGTCCCATTTTCTCCACATTTCCCTCTCCGTTCCCACTCCCCACCCTCAGTCCCTCTCCCTCTCCCTCGCCCGCCTGCTAGGCAAGACGGGCCTCGCGAAATGCACAACTCGGAACCGCTAGAGACTGGCCCCGTAGTGCGAAAAACCTTGCCCACGACCTCTCCGCCAAACGGCTTCGTGCACGGCAGACGTTGCCCATGCGGCCAGTGATTGTCCGTGCCCCTGGCATCGCTCTCTCATCGACTTTCAGCGGTTGAGGGACGACTTGAATTTGGAAGTAGTGAGCCCGCATGGTCGAGGAAGTTCAAGGCAGCGTCGGATTGTTCAGGCGACGCAAGAGAGGCTAAGCCGACGGATCTCGTCAGATATCATCGCGCTATTCCAGCCGTATGGATATGAAGCATCCACCTGGCGAGTGCGACGACAAGGGGCGTGCGTACCGTGGTTGTACTACATTCGCTCATAGCCACGCGTCGCGAGAAACATGTGAACATAAGCAATCGCGTGCCTCAGTAAGTTTGGTGCGCGCACATGCTGGCATGTTGAGGGTGCACGCTTCACATCCGATCGGTTCCACGCGTGCAGGTATGTCTAGACGTCGACCCCACCAAACTCGGATTTGCCCAGGGACGTCCATTCCCCTAGACCACCCCGAAGCACAGTTGAGAGAGATCAGTTTTCCAGCCAGTAGAGGGTGCTTAGTTTATGGCACCGGGCGGGACAGGCGCAAGGGCGAACTACGCCACGAATCAGGGGCGAGAGATGTTCACGCGTGTGAGTGGCAGATGCTTCGGTCGCGCCCTTATCCCTCCTTCTTCCTCCCTACCCTCCTCCATCCTCGCCCCTCCCTCGACCTCTCTCCCTCACCCCGCTGCTTGTAATTCAGCTTCAGCTGGGGACAGGCAGGCCACTCCTTCGTTTGGCTGTCAAGCCGTTATTACAGCTGTCTGGTCTTCAAAGGAGAGGCTGGATCTGATGTGTTGTGCATTTGGCTCGCAGGCATCCTGTTCGTGCGGGAAGGCTGCTAGAACGACACAGCCCGAGGTGGCGGCGCCAACCCTGTCTGCCTGTACGCGCGTCGGATACCAGAGGCGGTGACAAGTCAAGGAGGGGGTTGGTGGATTGCAGGCGGGTCTCCCTCTCTCTCTCTCTCTCGTTCTTCCCTTCCCCCATCTCTCTCTACACACACGCTCGCACATCGACATACTCAGATACATGTACACGCGTACACACATACCTACCTACCTACCTACCTACCTACCTACCTACCTACCTACCTACCTACCTACATACATACATACATACATACATACATACATACACAAATACAGACAGACAGACAGACAGACAGACAGACAGACAGACAGACAGACAGACAGACAGACAGACAGACAGACATACATACATGCAAACATTCATACATACATGCATACCTTCATACATGCATGCATACAGATGGTGCCTTCTCTCTCTATATATAATAGCTCTTTCTCTCTCTACCTCTCTCCCTCCCTGTCTAGCCTTGGTGGCCGAAGAGTTTCGGACATGCCGACACAAAATTCAGCAGGGCTTGTGTCGGCGGGTCGAGTGGTTCCCGTCTTGGCCTCTTTCCTCTCCCCAGTTCTTCTGCGCCGCCGTGTCGGAAGGATAATAGTGTCACGAGGCACCGAACAGGGAGAGATGGACGCCCCCTTGGCAGACGAGACGACCAGTGCTGGAAGGCGGACACGGAGGTAAGTTGCGCACGCCGCCCCGCCATCCCAGTTGTGGCCCACGACGGTGTTGTGCTTGTTGCGGTTGCAAGAAGGGCGAGGATCACCAGACCGATTGTATGCATTGCAGGAGGCTCTGTGAGGAGGCACCGAATGATGTGGGGTTACAGCCTGCGGACAGTCGCTTTCCGTCATCTCCTCGAGCCAGTATTCAATGTTCCAGGGGTAAGGTGGCAATCCCACATGGAAGATCCACCTTAGAAAGAAGTGTTCGCTTCCAGGAGCCAGGGTCCGGCTTGTCGAAGTGGGAACTACAACAGCTTATCGTCCTGGGCACCCAGGTTGGGGACGAATCAGGAGTTTCAAAATACAAGGCCGTGCTCAAGCAGTTTGGTGGGCAAGCCCAGCCCACCCCGATCCAGCAAACAGCACCTTCCGCCCATGCGAAGGTGCTGGAGACGGATTTGCAGCTGCAGAGATAGACCGCGAATGTGGACAAGGCCCTGGAGACGGCCAACGCACAGTCCGCAATCGTGCAGCGCGTACGGGACGAACTTGTTCAGGCCGATGAGCACTATCGATCGATTGTGGCTGACTTGTACGGAGCTTCGGGGGCGAAGCGAGCCGCTCTTCGATTTCAAGGAGTTCGAGTGAGAGCGAGATACCCGATGCAGATCGGAATGTTGTCCAAGCCCGTGCATGCGCCATGCGTGGTGCCCTACAGAAGTGTGCTAAGGAACTGTTCCCAGGAACAATCAAGAACGTCGAGTCCATGAAAAAGGTGCGTGGTAAGCACAGAACTAGACCTGCTACCAACGAGCGGGAGATGGCCGAGAGAGCTGCGGCTGGAGGTGGCAAGCAGGGGGAGCAGGCAGAAGTTCAGCAGGCAGCCACGGCAGGCATGGCAGGCGCAGCATCGAGCACCGAGTCCCAGAGCAAGGAGGTTGCCAAGGTTGATCCGCGAGCAGGCGGTGGGGAGCCCATTACCGCGGGTGGCCAGAATATTCGCAGTCGTGCCGATCGCAATCTCGCGTAGACTGCGTCAGTCGGGCAGTCATCGAGATCTCAGTCAGCGCACCCGTCTGCTCGGGTTGCCGCCGCTGGGCGACGCTGCAGGCTGGATGGGTGCTGCTGCGTCAATTGGAGCGGCCGCGGGTGCGTCTTCTCACGAGCCGAGAGGGCGGGTCACCAACATCCGCCATGTGCTCAGGAAGTTGTTTTGGAAGGTTTGATTACCACGCTTCTGTCGAGTCGGCTGGTTCCCCGTGGCGGGCACAGGGCCAGAGGCCGAGGCACACGGGGGTCGCTGGCAGAGGAGAAGTGTCACGTGTCCCCCGACGTGGGGACCGTGAGAGTTCCTCTTGCAGGTGGTCTCTGGGGTCTGGGGATCTAGGCAGCGGCGGAGCCCCCCTGTCTTGCAGCGGCTCCCCAGAGCTTCCCGTGGAAGGCTGTGACTCTAAACTCGAGACGTGTAGCTGTCGGATTGGACTCGGTGAAAGAGCGGATGGTGATCACAAGCTTACCCGCCATCCGCACACAAGAGCACCATTCGATCGGAAACGAGGCGATGCGTGGAGCCGAGGTCCGGCGCTGCAGGAAGTGTAGGACAGGTGATTGTATTTCTGCGTCGCGTGGCCCCGCAGGAGGAGCAAGAGGCGGCGTGGCAGCGATTGTCTATGAATGGCCCAGGCTACACCACGCGCTTCCTCCATCAGGTCGAGCTGTGTTGGCCAAAGTTCATTCTCATAGTGGCACACCCGTCCTGGCTGGTGCAGTATATCCGAGGGACAGCGCAGGCCCTTCGAAGGGGAACTTGGCGGTGCTCAGCGGGATTGGGGCATGATCGGGCCCCAGGAGTCGGCGACACAAGCCGAAGCCGCGTCACCCGTGTGCAGGCCTCCCCGGAGAAGCACTTAGGGTGTAAGCGCGTGGTTGAGTAGTCGTGGGCCTGCCCATGCGGGAGTTCTGCTGCCCACTCCGCGGGCGCGGACACGGCCACGACTGCTGCCACAACCACAGACGCAACGCCAGCCACTGCGGCGAACCATGCCCGCCAAGATCAACGCGACAAACGCAACCACGGCGCACATGACGACTACGACGACGAAGAAAGCTGCAACCACGGCGGCCGCGACCACAAACCACGACGACCACGACACCGCGAGCACGGCCACGACTGCGGCTACGACGACGACGACGACGACGACGCCGTCCGCGACGACAGCGACGACCACCGCCATGATCACGAACGCGCGACCACGTGCACGACGACAACCCCGACGACCACCATCACGACCACGGTGACCACAACCACAATCTGTTCCAAGACGAGCACGACCACTTCCGCGAACACCAATACCACGTTCAGGACCACGGCGACCACAGCCTCGACCACGACCATGACCGCGACACAGCCACGACCACGCCCACGACACGACAGTCATGAGCACGGTCACGACACAGACGACGACGACGACGACGACGACGACGACGACGACGACGACGACGACCACGACCACGACGACGACGACGACGACGACGACGACGACGACGACGACGACGACGACGACGACGACGACGGTGGTGATAGCAACCACGACGACCCAAACGCTGAGTTCGACCACAACGACGACGACGCCAGACAAGGAGCGGCCAAGAGCAGGATAATGGTTCTGATGTTTGTTTGCATACTGGTGGCGACGGTGGTGGTGGTGAAGGGGGTGGTTGTGATGGTGATGATGATGATGATGATGAGGAGGAGGAGGAGGGAGGAGGAGAGGAGGAGGAGGAGGAGGAGGAGGGGGAGGAGGAGGAGGGGGAGGAGGAGGAGGAGGAGAAGGATGCAGCTGCTGATGGATGCGGGATGAGGGAGGGAGAGTGGGAAGGGAAAGGAATGGAAAGGGAAGGGAAGGGAGGGAGGGGGCAGACAAGGCAGGAAAAGGAGGAGGAGAAGGAGGAGGAGGCTACCAGCACGACGGCGACGACGACGGCGGCGCCCAGCTGTTGAGCCGATTCGGCCGAGGGGCGAGCGCGGTCCTGGTCCCCACCAGCGTACGGGCCCGGACCATTCTCACCCCGATTTTTTCCCCTGTTCCCTATTTCCCCCTTCCCTCCGCCCTCCTCTCCCCCTCCGTTCCTCCGTCCGTCCGCCCCCCCTGTGTTTTCCTCCCTCCCCCATTCTCCCCCCCCGCCCTCCCTGCTCCCTTCCCCGCCCCCCTCCCCCGCGGGTTGGTTTCGGCATGGGCCGCGCCTGGGCGAGCTGGGCGTCCGCCGCCTTGCTGGGCCACGCGCTGCTGCGCGGGCTGCGCCAGAGCGGCGCGGGCCGCTCCGCTCGGGTGAAGGGGGGTCCTCCTCCTCCTCCTCCTCCTCCTCCTCCTCCTCCTCCTCCTCCTCCTCCTCCTCCTCCTCCTCCTTTTCCTCCTCCTGCTCCTCCTCCTCCTCCTCCTCCTCTTTCTCCTCCTCCTCTTCCTCCTCCATCTCCAGCATGCAGCAGTATGGCATACACTGTGGATGTCCCACCAGGGGACCAGCCGAGGCGAACCCCCCCGCCCATGGGACAGCTGTACCTACGATCGCCCGCTGATCCATGTCACCCCCGAGGCCTTCAAAAAAGTCTGCAGGACCTTCAGGGCGACTACGGGAGTAGGAGCGGATCAAATACATCCCAGATGGCTGGGGGAGCTGTCCGACAAGGGCACGCAATTCATGTGCGACCTGGTCATGTACAGCAGCCAACACGTCCATTGGCCAACCAACGCGCAGCACATCCTCTACTTCCCTCTGGATAAGAACGCTACCGATACTAGGCCTAGTGGGCGCATGACCACCACCATGCGGATCACCGAGAGACTGCATGCGGACATATACATTCAATGGGAAGCAACAATTTCGCGGGGCTACGATTGGGCAACCAGGGGAGGAGGAGCAGAGAACGCCATGTGGACCCAGGCCCTAGCTGAGGAAGGCCTACCTGACAAAGTTGTTTCCCTCAGCGCCGTGTCCGACCTGGAGAAGGCCTTCGAGCACATCAGCGCCTACCGCCTGTGGGACACCAGCCCCGATCTCGACTTCCCGCGACAGATGATACACCTATTCATATCAATGCGCACGGGGCCCAG